CATCTATAACTCCTTTTACAAAAACACCACTATTTATGGTTTTTTTCCCTTCGGTCCATGCCTCATTGTGAAATTTATATCCGTTCACGAAGTATGTGTGCCAATCATTTGCGCTTTGGATAGGGCCTTCTGCCAAGTTTCTCAAATGGAGTATTTATGGAGTTAGTGCAAGAACGCTAGACAATGTTTACTTGAACCATGAGGGAAATTGAGCATGAATGACACCTGATGTTGACTGTACCCCGGTACTATGAAAATAGGCATTGTTAAATTCCCTACAAAACACACACCATAAGTTTAATAAGTTTGGTATACACACACCATAAGTTTAAAAAGTTTTGGTAAACTTACTCAAGATATGGTTTAACTTCAACGCAGTTGATCAAGACATGGACATGTGCAGATTGCATTTCTTTTTGGGTCAACCAATGCACACCCTTCTTTCCAGAAGGTCGACCTGGAAGCGCAAAGACTGATAAAGTGAATTGACTCCTCTGATTGACATTTACAGGATTCCGTATGATTCGAGAAGTTAACATCAAGTGATTGAAATAGTGACTGCAAAAATGTGATGTTTCCCGATGCAAGTAATGTGCACATATAGATCCTTCTACTCTAGCTTTATTTTTCACTGATCTCTTTGAATCACCCATGAACCTTTCAAACGGATACATCCACCTATATTGAACAGGTCCACCAAGATAAACTTCATATGCAAGATGCACAGGTAAATGTTCCATGGAGTCAAAGAAACCAGGCGGAAATACTTGTTCCAACTTACAAAGAATGAGTGCAATGTTTTGGTCCAACTTAATGATGTCTTCCACTTTTAAAGCTGACGCACAAATATCTCTAAAAAATTGACCAATTTCAGTTAGTGGGTCAAGAACATGTTTGGGTAGCGATCCAAATGCAATTGGTAGCAACTGTTCCATAAAAATGTGACAATCATGACTTTTCATACCATGTAATTTTCCAGTGTTAGGGTCAGCACACCTTGCTAAATTTGATGAATACCCATCGGGCAATCTCAATTCTTTTAACCATCGACAAACCGCTTTAGCTTCTTGGGAAGTCAGACTGAAACAAGCCTTGGGTTTTAATAATTTTCCATTCGGTTGAGGCTTCAACTCCAACTCTCTTCGATTACACCAAATTCCCATGTCTTGTCTGGCCTTCTCATTATCTTTTGTTTTTCCTGTCACATCCATCATTGTGTTAAATACATTATCAAAAAAATTCTTCTCAATATGCATAACATCAAGATTATGGCGCAACAAATTATCTTTCTAATACGGAAGATCCCAAAATATACTTCTTTTTGTCCAATTGTGGGTGATGCCGTATCCTTCAATTCGGCATGCTTTGCCAGTATCTGTAAATTTTGGTAGTTCACATACTTGGTTCCATATAACCCCTGGCGGCAATCGAAGCGGAGGCAAATCTTTCTCTCGTACATCTTTTTTAAAATTTGTCTTGTTTCTTCTATATGGATGATTTACTGGTAGGAATCTGCGGTAACAGTCAAACCATGAGCTTTTCCCACCTTTATCCAACGTAAATGCTTTGGTGTATCCCATGCAATGCGGACAACCCATTTTTCCATGCGTACCCCAACCAGACAACATGCCATATGCTGGAAATTCATTAACGGTCCACATCAAGGCAGCTCGTAATGTGAAGTTCTGTTTACGGGATATATCATAAGTCCATTCTCCAATCCACATCTTCTTCAAATCATCAATTAAAGGTTGTAAGTACACATCAATTCTGGCTTTTGGACTGTGCGGGCCTGGAATAACACACGTCAAAAACATGTATGGTTTTGTCATGCACATCTCAGGAGGGAGGTTGTAAGGTGTTACAATAACTGGCCAACAAGAATACGCACTTCCTGACGCTTGCACGTATGGGGCAAATCCATCAGAGCATAATCCAAGCCTGACATTTCTAGGTTCTGCAGCAAAATCTGGATGTGTCCGATCAAAGTGCTTCCATGCCTCACCATCAGATGGATGTCGCATAGTGCCAGAACTTGTTTGGTTTGTATGATGCCATGTCATTTGACTTGCATTGTGCATTGAAGCAAACATTCTTTTTAACCTTGGTATTATAGGAAGATAAAACATGGATTTTACTGCTACACGCTTTTGCTTGCTGTTAACGGCTCTACTGCGAACTTGATATCTTGGACTATTACAAAACTTACACTCCTCTAACGATCCATCTTGAGTACCAAACTCATTGTCATAAAACAACATGCAACCGTTAATGCAACAGTCAATCTTTCTTACTTTTAAACCCAACTTCGACACCCACTTCTTTGCATCATAATAACTTGTAGGCAAGTTGTCTTTCGTAGCAGTGGAGTCCAACATTATTTTTGCAAAATGTTCCAGACATTGATCAGAAACATTTCAATTTGACTTGGCGGCCAATAATCTCACACACATTGATAGCTTTGAGTCTGACGACCCCTCAAACAATGGCGTATTCATCTCGTTCAATAATTGATAAAATCTTTGCGCTTCCTCATTCGGCAACTCTTCCCCGTCAAAATCTCCAGGTTCATCATATGTCACGTTCACACCAAAAGCATCCTCAACCATGTCACCGATCAAATTAAAGTTCTCCTCATACTCAATAACCGGTCGACTACTTGAAGCATGCGTGTTGCTAGTCTCTGGTACATTAACCGGTAGTTCTTCACCATTATACGTCCAAACCCAATAATTTTCAATGAATCCCCTTCTATGCAGATGACGTGTTACTTCCTCTGGGTCACTAATTATTGGTCTACATTCACATTTAAGACAGGGACACCTAACCCCTCCTTCGCTTCGACAACAATCCTGAGCAAACGCCCACTTAATAAACCCATCAACTCCTACTATAAAATTGGGTTTAAGTCCACTTCTTCCTGGATATGTTCTATCGTACATCCAACTACGATAATATCGATAATATTCCATACTGCACATTTATACAATCATTGTCTTTTTCATTAGAAATATTAATCAACTTAATAATATTATTCTTAAACTATTTAATACTATTCTTAAAAATATAAATTTTGCTTTTTTATATATATATACTAACATATAAATAAATATTCAAATGTAAAATATATAATTTTTTATTATATAACAATAATATCAAAAAACAATAATATAACATATTTACTTTTTATTATATATACAACAATAATATTAGAAAACAAATAATGTAACATATATACTTTTTATTATATATATAACAATAATATTAAAATAATAATATAATATATATATACTCTTTTTTTAATTATGTTTTTTATAAATTCTTATTTTAATATATAATTTTTTTTTCATATCTTTAACATATAAATAAAAAAATAAAACTATTATAATAAATATAATATACATTTTTGTTTTTAAATATGTTATTAAATTTATGTGTTAACATATATATATATATATATATCTATAAAAAATAAGACTTTTAATTTTATGTTTTCTAAAAAATTTTATTTTAATATATATTAAAAAAAAATTATTTTATACGTATATACTAACAAAAAAATTTTATATGTCTATATAACATGCAATAATATTAATAAATATTAACCTATATATATTAACAATAATATTTCTGTTTAATAATATATTAATATATAAAATATTCTAATTTTCATTTTATTTTAAACATTAACCTATAATACTAATTAACCTAAAACTAAAATTAAGTAAAATATTTTTTTTAATTCACATAAACAAAATACATATACTACTAATCTATATAATACATATAAAATATAAAAAAAATGCATAAATACCTCTATATAATTTCTTCACTTAATTTGCTTCTTGTGTAGCTCTTGGTGTTCTACTTCAAATTTCTCTACAGGTTAAACAAAATACCCTTTTTAATATTTATTACCAGTATAATAAATAATGAACAAATGAAATAAAAATTTATCAAAATATGAATAGCTTATTCTTCTTCAACAATTTGGGATGGAGGAAATTTGATTTGGGAATTTGGGTTTCAGAGGTAAACAAAGGAAGAAGAAAGGAAGAAGAAAGGAAGAGGAAACAAACATGCTGTAACGGATGAGAATTTTGTGGAGATGTAAACATCAAGTAGCGACGTGACTGTCACGTCGCAACATTGCCACGTGAGACTCACGTCGCTACACACTCAACAGAAATATAATTCACTTTCCCACTCTGTCACCCTGTCATCAATCAACTTTAATTTCCCCCTTAAATGTAGCGACGTGGCTATCACGTCACTACCAAATTTCAAAATAATTTTAAACTCCCTCCAACTAAATGTCTCAGAGTTTAATACATATTAAATTTTCGTTTTCTGTAGCGACGTGTAAGACACGTCGCTGATTTTTTTACTAAACAACCTTCTCTGACTTCTTTTATTTATTATTAAAATATGTTTGTGACGTGGTTATCACGTCGCAACTGCATTTATTACTCACGTGATAACCACGTCGCTAATATATGTCGCTGGGGACCATCTTTCTTGTAGTGTAAGTGCGTATAGAAAATATTTTTTGAGAGCTGTCAGATAATTGAATCCCTTAAATATATGTTGTCATAAATTTAATATATGTTAAGTGTGTATAAAAAATATTTTTTTGAGAGATGTGTCAGATAATTGAATCTCTTAAATATATGTTGTCATAAATTTAATATTTGATGTATAGAGAGAGAGATGTGACCGATAACTAAATCTCTTAAATATGTAATCATAAATTTAATATCTAATTGATGCATATAAAATATCATTTGTTGAGACATGTTGAGTAGATTAAAGTGAATCTATTTTCTCATCAATTTTTATTGATTACATATTTTGAGTCAACTTATGCACTTGTGATATATAATATATGTACGATAAATGTTTATTCAATAAAAGATCGATTAAAATATTTATCCAAACACCTCTTAATTGAATTTTTCTGACTTTCTAACTCATTTTTTCTAGTTTAGTTTACCTTGAACATGCCTATGCTTGGAGTATGTGAAGTAAAATTTGCAGAAAAAGTAGCAAATTGGATAGCCAAGGGACTTCAACCCAAGATCAATGAAAACATTCAACAAAATGTTAAAGCAAAATTGAACACATTGGTTCTAGCTGGTCATAGTAAAGGTGGAAAAACAGTATTTGCTCTAGCAATAGATCAAGCAAAAACCAACCTCAAATTTTCTGCCCTAATTGGAATAGATCCAGTAGCAGACCCATGTAAGGGCAAGATAACAAGAACACGTCCTTGCATTCTAACGGGCCAGGCCCAATCCCTAAACTTAAACATGCCTGTTATGGTGATTGGAACTGGGCTAGGCCCAAAACCTTCTAATTGCTCTCTTGTACCCTGTGCTCCTGAGGGGAGGAACCATGAGGAATTTTTCAATGAGAGTAAACCACCTTGTGCACATTTTGTTACTAAGGATTATGGTCATATGGATATGTTGGATGAAGACACCCAAGGTTTAAGAGGAAGACTTTTGAAGTGTATGTGTAAGAATGGAATTGGACCTAAGGATTTGATGATAAGGACCATGGGTGGCTTAGTTGTTGCATTTTTGAAGGATTATTTGTATAACCAAAAGAAAAATTTTCAAGCTATTTTGGATGATCCTAATCTTGCTCCTGCCAAGCTTGAAGACCCTGTTTTTTATCCATGATTTTGTAATTTATGTTTGGATTTCTTTAACAAAGATTATAAAATGATCTTGTTTTACTTATTGATTTTCCTCTCAATTAATTTATTAGGATATTTTTTTCAGAATATTCTTAATACTCCTAGCTATTGTTTAAATTATTTAGACCTCTTAATATTGCGGTTAATTTGCACTTCGAATATTTAATATGAGAATTTATTTCTCCATCTCTATGCTTTTTTTAGAGATTTTTAGCGAAATTCTAAAAATATCTTATTTTTGAATATGTATATTCGAATGAATTTTTATTCCACCAAAATTTATGAAAAAGTTATTTTTGAATATGTATATCCGAATAAACTTTATTGTTTTACGAAAAAAGTGATTTCGAATATATTTATTTTTGAATTTTACTCTATTATAAAATTTAAAAATACAATTAAAAGTCAAATAAAATAAAATTAAGTGTCTACAATTTTTTCAAATTTTTTCGAAAATATATAAACGAAGAATAAATCAAATAAAATAGAAAAATAAGGAATTTATGGTTTTTAGGATGAAGCCTCTTATTTTGTCTCAAAATAGAGGATTTTGATTCCTGGATTTTTTTGAATGAATTGACACGGTAAAATTTTAATTCATAATCGATTTTCTAAAAAAATGATTTTTTTACGTTAGATCGCGTAAAGAACAGAGACACGGAAACACAAGGTCTAGAACACCGAAATTATTTCGTTACATTTTATTTTGTTATAAAATATATCAATTAATACAATTGATACACCTTGATTCTAATTGATATAAATATTAAAATATTTTGAATATACATATCCGAAAATCTTTAAAATTAAATATTAAGATATTTCAAATATATATATCTGAAAACCTTTAAAATTAAATATGAATGTGTTCGAATATATATATTTAAAAAATATTTTTTAAATTTTCAAAGATTTAATTCAATATATAAAAGTGGAGAAAGAAATCCTCATTATGAAATAACCATAATGGATAAGAGTACGATCCATATTCTTAAGCCCACAATAGAAAGTGCTTAAGATTACTTTGTTAAAAATAGATTACTTCACCTAAAAAAATTAAATTTATCTTCTTTTTTTTTAATTTCACAATCCAAACGTTATTTGTCTAGATTGTAAATGTATTAATATTTTGGAAAATAGTATTAAAATTGGTAAAGTACACATCTGAATTTATAATTCAGATACACTAAGAATAGAAAAGTAATACTCACTAATCTAACTTTAATAATATGAACAAATTTGATCAATATTGAGTCTCACATGATTGATTCCTTAGTTCATAGAGAATATCGTTCTCGTTATTTTTTATCAATGTCAATTTTATATGTGTTATGTTCAGGAACCAAAAATAGAGGAGATTATTAAAACTGCAGTAGATTGAAGTTTTCTAAACGATTAAACAATGTGACACCCTGAATTGAAGGTTGTGATCTTAATGTCTCTTGAATCAAAGATGTTGATTTTGAACCGATGTTGCTAATCTTTGGTATGGTGGACCAAAGAGGGAGTTACATGCATGGTTAGCACTAAAATGTTCAAGTCAGTTTAGGGTTCAAGATAATTGTATTGAGAGTGAAGATTAGAAATTGTGTATCTGAAACCCTCTTGTAATTATATTCATACTTTGGGCTCTCTAGATAGAGTGAGAGGAATGGGCCTCGCCTTATTGGGCCTTTGGTCGACCTAAATCAACTGCCCCAAAGACTAGTCAGGCATTCGGGACGCCGGTGGAAACTTTTAGCAGTCGTGGCCGATCTTAAGGAATGGTTGTCTATGCGTCAGCTGACATGCTGTTCATTCACCATTTGTGCTATAGTTCTATTTCTTATTCGTCAAAAATCCAGAAAAATTGTAACACTTTGTTCTTAGTTAGTAGCTGTTGGAGTCAAATTTTATTTAGTTACTGTTTTGAGAGTTTTATATTATTTTGGCTATTTTTACGCTTTTTGGTAGTGTGTTGGTTGAATACAGGTTCACGCGGTTAAAGGACCACAGAACGGACCGAAGCTGCAGAGCAGATGAAAGAAACAGAGAAAAATTTCAAGACTGCCCATACGCGTATGGCCTGGTCCGTGGCTAGCCCTTACGCATTCCACACGAGAATCAGCAAATCTCAGGCAAAAATATGTTATGCTCGTACGCGTATGATACACGTATGGGTCCCTGAAGGAAAGCTAAATGCGTTATGTCTGCATATGAGGTATGCGGTGTCCATAGCCATATGCGTATGATACACGTGTGGAGGCCCAAAGTTGGATGAAAATCCTAGTACATGTGTATTTAAGCCATAAGCGCGAATTCTCAAGGGTTGGACGATTTTTGACGGTAAAGAATATTGTTGAAGGTTGGAGAGCTTATATCTATGCTTGGAATCAAAATTTTCATGAGCTTTAGCAATTAAAGACTTAATTTCCATCATTAATCTATAATGTCTACACTTACTACTTTGTTTTTCTTGAATATTATGAGTAGCTAAACCCCCAAATGCTAGGGGGTGACCCTGATTCGGATTTGTAATGACTTTGAGTTTTTATTTGCAATGACAATATTATTTTTCATAATTAATTTATTCTCTTAATGTTCTTAATACTTTTATTTCAGACAAATTAAGATTGGTGTATGATTATAAATTAGGTTGGACCACCGCTGGTAATGCTTTCATGAGAATATTTTATAGTAGATATCATCTAGGACTAGGGATACCCTATAGAAGCTGGATTATTCTTGATTTAATCATGCTTAATTTCATCGGTGATTATCAATTAGGTTGGATCATTGTTGGTAATGCTTTCATAAGAATATTTTATAGTAGATATCATCTAGGACTAAGATACCATATAGAAGTTAGATTATTCTTGATTTAATAATGTTTAATTTCATCGGTAAGTTTCTATGGGCATATGGCTTAAAGCTCATGAAAATTTTGATTCCAAGCATAGATCTGAGTTCTCTAGCCTTCAACAGTGTTCTTTACCGTCAAAATTCGTCCAACCCCTGAGAATTCCCGCTTCTGGCTTAAATACACATGCACTGGGCTTTTCAGCCAACTTTAGGCCTTCACATGTGTATCATACGCATATACTTATGGACACCACATACCTCATATGTGGACATAACGCATTTAGCTTTCCTGCAGGGACCCATACGCGTACAGGCATAACAGATTTTTGCCTGAGATTTGTTGATTCTCGTATGGAACGCGTAAGGGCTAGCCACGGACCAGGCCATACGCGTATGGTACGTGTATAGGCAGTCTTGAAGATTTTTCTCTGTTTATTTCACCTGCTCTGTAGCATTGGCCCGTTCCATGGTCCTTTGATTGTGTGAACATGTATTCAACCAACACACTACCAAAAAGCGTAAAAATAGCCAAAATAATATAAAACTCTCAAAACAGTAACTAAATAAAAATTGACTCCAACTACTACTAACTAAGAACAAAGTGTTACAATTTTTCAGGATTTTTGACGAATAAGCAATAGAACTATAGCACAAATGGTGACTGCTCAGCATGTCAGCCAACGCATAGACAACCATTCCTTAAGGCCAGTCACGACTGCTAAAAGTCTCCACAGGTATCCCGAATGCTTGACTAGTCTTTGGGGCAGTTGTTTTAAGTCGACCAAAGGCCCAATTAGGCAAGGCCCATTCCTCTCACTCACTCTAGAGAGCCCAAAGTATAAATACAATTATAAGAGGGTTTCAGATACACAATTTATAATCTTCACTCTCAATACAATTACCTTGAACCCTAATCTGACTTGAATATTTTAGTGCTAACCATGCATGTACCTCCCTCTTTGGTCCACCATACCAAAGATTAGCAACATCGGTTCAAAATCAACATCAATGATTCAAGAGACATTAAGATCGCAACCTTCAATTTAGGGTGTCACATTGTTGAATCGTTTAGAAAACTTCGATCTACTGCAGTTTCAATAACCTCCTCTATTTTTGGTTCTCGAACATAACACATACAAAATTAAAATTGATAAAAAAAATAACGAGAACGATATTCTCTATGAACTAAGGAATCAATCATGTGAGACTCAATGTTGATCAAATTTGTTGATGAATTTTCTTGATGAATACTTTCATACTTCTGTTTACATTCATAAAAGATATTAAATTGTGAATTTTAAGCAGAAAGAAGGAGAGTCACTAGGTGATGCTTACAAGAGGTTCAAGAAGTTATTTGTAGCTTATCCACTCACAATATGGATCAATCTGAGAAAACGCAGATGCTTGTAAATGTCCTCAGAATGAAGACAAAGCAGCTTATTGCTACAATTGTCGGTGGCTCATCCAACTTTACAATAGCCATTGGGTATTAAGAATATCATTGAAGTCATTGCTGCGAATGAACATCTGGAATTGTATGACAGGGTTACAAGCAAACTAGAGGGAGTTATTGATTTGAAGTTGGAAGCCAACAAACAACTCAAAATTGAAAAATAGTTGTTGCAGAAGTGGAGTAAAGGTTGAAGCAATGAAAATAGGAGCTCAATAGGTAGCTCAGGTTCAACAGGCACAAAATATTGTTTGTGAAATTTGTAGTGGATCACACATTATAGTGCAATGTCTTTCAACTCCACAACACATTGAGGAGATAAAACTTTTGAAGCAGAATAATCTGTATTCTAACACCTATAATCCTGGATGGAAGAGTCATCCCAACTTCTCCTAGAAAGAAAATCAGCAACAAGCTCCGCATAAGGCAAAATGGGAGGTAGCAATTGAAAATATGGCTGGCCACACTTCTCAATTCTAAGAAGAGACAAGGAGAAATCACCTAAATACCACAGCTTCAATAAAAAATTTGGAAGTTTAAATGGGACAGATTGACCAACAATTATCTCTGCAAGCACAAGGAAATCAGAAAAATCATGAGAATATTAATATTGTCGCAACAAGGAGTCCGAAAGTTGCTGAAGAAAAAGAAGATGAGGTAAAATTTGATGATAGTATCTGTAATACGGTGGA